CTTCACTTTGTTGTGTCATACCAATACAAACAAAAGAAATAAACATGGAAATGCCTACTCATTTGTACTTGCAAGAAGTTTTTGGGCAAAATAGTGCATTATGTGAAAGAAATGCAAGGGTGGCAATATTTTCGTCCATGACTGTGTGTATATATATATATATATATATATATATATATATATATATATATATACACACACACATATACATATATATATATATATATATATATATATACACACACACAGTTAGGAAAATATATATTTAGACACAAGCACAATTTTAGTTTTTTTCAGGTATTGACCAAAACATATTCAAGCTATAGTTATATAATGGATATAGGCTGAAAGTGCACACTCCCAGGTTTAATTTGAGGGTGTGTACATCCAAATTGGAGGAAGGGTTTAGGAATTACAGCTCTTAAGAGTAGCCATCCCCCCTTTTTCTGCAAAGTGTCCTTCCCTTGTCGGGATGTTATGAATGGGCTTTTCTTTACCATAGAGAGGATCCTGCGATCATCCACCACTGTTGTCTGACGTCCATGCCTTTTTATGTTGCTGAGCTAACCAGTGCGTTCGTCTTTCCTCAGAATGTACCAAACTGTTGATGTGACCACTCGTAATGTTGCTGCTATCTCTCTGATGGATTTGTTTCATTTCTTAAGCCTTACAATGGCCTGTTTCACTTGCATGGACAGCTGTTTGGACAGCTACTTTGAACGCATGATGTAGGTTCACAGCAATAGATTCCAAATGCAAACAACTCCAGACATTTTACCTGCTTAACTGATGAAGAAACAACAAAGTAGTAGCCCACACCTGGCCATGAAACAGCTTTTGATTCAATTGTCCAATTACTTTTGGTCCTTTGAAAAAGGGGTGATGGCTACTCTTAAGAGCTGTAATTCCTAAACCCTTCCTCCAATTTGGATGTACATACCCTCAAATTAAACCTGAGAGTGTGCACGTTCAGCCCATATCCATTATAGAACAATAGCTTGAATATGTTTTGGTAAATACCTGAAAAAAAAAAAAAAAAAAATTGTGCCTGTGTCCAAATATATATGGACCTAACTGTATATACAGATTATATTTTTAATAAGGAGCAGAGGCGGACTGACCATTTGGAAACTCAGGCACTGCCCGAGGGCCCGGGGTCAGTAGGGGGCCCCATGAGATGCCCATGGTACCTTTTTCATAGGCTTTTTTGAGTTTGGGCAAGGACACAGGGGCCCCATGATCCCCTATTGCCCGGGGGCCCCATGAGTTGTCAGTCCGCCCCTGATAAGGAGTATATAATTCAGACATTTATACTGAGTAACTAGAACAAAATCATTTAAACAATTGCTATGTGGACTGCTGACATCTTCTGTAATTTTGTTCTGTAAATAAAATATATTTTCTTGGTGTCGGAATGCCAGGAGCTATGGAGACCATTTTGAGGAATATTATCTATTTCTTAAAATGATCTCCACAGCTCTTGGCAATTTCAACACCAGGCAAATGCTGTATATTTGTGTACAAATGATTTTGGCAAGGATACAGGAGATGTCGGCTCCCCATATAGCAATTGTTTAAATGATTTGATTCCATTTATTCATTAAGAATATAAATATCATCTGCTCATATATATTCTGCACCAGTGATAATTGTCTATCAATGTCACGGAGCCGTGCTGTATTTTGGACAGTGTCCAATATTTTCTGACAGCTGAAAATATCTCACTGATGATTTATTATATTTCTGCTAGGGAATGGAGCTTGTACCCAAGCTAATGACTAATGCAGGCCATAGATGGTTTGTTTATCGGCCAATTTTTCATCCGAAAAATGAAACATTGTTCGTTTTGTAAACCGATGTTGCCACCAATGATTGCGAAAATCAGCCGTTTTTCACAAATTTTCCAGCATGACCGATAATCGAAATGAGGAGGAACCGCGAAAATTGTCTGATGCCATTGCCCCACTAACAGTGCAAAAATCAGCCGATTATTCTTTTGGATGAAAAATCGTCCGAAAAATGAACCGTCTATGGCCTGCATTATGGAGCTGACCAATGACTCCAAAGTCATGGCAGGATGAGGGGTCACCTGACCATCTGCAAAGTGACCGATCAGATGTCTGATCCAAAGCAGAGTAGGCTCAGGTTTTTCCTTAACCATGCTTCTTTAAGCCTCTCCCACTGTTTTGGCCACACCCACCATTTGGTGAGGCGTGCGATGTGCACCGTAACCCCGTCCATGGTCCACCTTCTGACCCATTCCCATTATTAAGACTACACATTTTCAAAAGGTTCTAATGTTATCAACACAGCTCACAACCAGGGGCAGACTGACCATTCAGGTACTCGGGCACTGGCCGAGGGCCTGGGGTCAGTAGGGGGCCCCATGAGATTTATTTATTTTATGTACTTATATAGTCAATTCACGCAGCGCTTTACATACATATTATACATTTGCATCAGTCCCTAACCCTCAAGGGGCGTACAATCTAAGGTCCCTAACTTACATTCATTTATACACATACTAGGGACAATTTAGACAGGATCCAATTAACCTACGAGCATGTCTTTAGAGTGTGGGAGGAAACCGGAGTACCCCGAGGAAACCCACGTAGGCACAGGGAGAACATGCAAACTGCAGGCAGGTGGTGCCATGGTTGGGATTCAAACCAACAACCCTAGTACTGCCAAGCAGAAGTGCTAACCATTTAGCCACTGTGCTGCCCATAAGAGATGCCCCTGGTACTTTTCATAGGCTTTTTCACAGGCTTTCTTGGGTGTGGTTTGAGTGTGGGCGAGGACACAGGGGCCCCATGATCCTCTATTGCCCGGGGGCCCCATGAGTTGTCAGTCACAACTATAATGAATGACATTTTACAAAGGAGACATTTTCCCAGTGTATGGTAATGGGAACAATCAGATCTGCCTGTTTTCTATGGTTATTGTATATGTAAGCCCATGCACTAAAATCTCATATTACATTTAACCATTGAATAGTACCATGGTGACACTGTACTACTTGTGGGGGGTGATGAAGATTTTTTTTTTTGCACTGATTGCTTTTACACCCATATAGGATGTAAAAGCAATAATTTCTCTTTCTCTCTGTCTGCATTCTTGCAGTCATTGAGAAGTACTGAGTAAGCTGTGATTGGTCACAGCTTGTCACATGGTACAAGGCTGTTGTGAATAGCCTTGTACCATGTGACCTCTGTGATCATTCACAGATTTCACACGTAGTAAGCAATGATGTCACAAGTGACATCTTGCTTACTACTTTGCATGTGATCACTGATTCGCCAATCAGTGATCACATGATCGGGACCTCGTACAGAGGTCCCGTCCGACGATCGGTGTTTCACTGTGTCCGGAGGACACAGCGGGCACCGGATTGTGGTGGTGCGTGCTCCCAGGGAGCACGCACAGCTAGAAAAGGTGGGTGCCGTTTAGGAACGGCAACCTGCCCCTGGACTGCCACCTCCCTGCCGTTTATAAACAGCAGGCGGACGGCAAGAGGTTAAAGCGGAGCTCCACTCAAAATGAAAAAAAAAAAAAAAAAAGCCAGCAGCTACAAAAACTGTAGCTGCTGACTTTTAAAAAACAGCCACTTGCCTGTCCCTTGATCCCACGGTGTCCTCACCACAGCCATGTTCACCGGCCGCCCCGTGTTCCCGGCGCTGGCATCTTTAGTGTAGGCACCCGGCTGTGACAGCTTGCGGCTTCACAGCCGGGTGCCCACTGCGCATGCGCAAGTAGTGCTGCGCTTCCTGAATGGTCACGTAGTCCTCTGGAACCTATCATGTGTTCCAGAAGACTACGAGGAGGGGGGAGAACAACTTCCTCTTCCAATTGCCTAGGCAATCACCGCAGAAGTGGGAGGGGGTACCTGTCAAATTCGAGTGCCCCCTCCACTCCCCAAAAGTGCCAATCCTTAGCGAGCCTTAAAGCTGAACTTTCCCTTTTGGGTGGAGCTCAACTTTAAGGTTTTGTTCAGGTGCTTCCTGCTATAGGGCGACAACGCTCTGTCCCTGTTATCCAATTGTTCTCCTGCATTGTCTGCCTCTCACATGCACTTCAGGTAGAGGCTAAAAACCACCATGCCAAGGTTCATTGTGCAGGCATGGTCCACCATTGTCCCTGCTGGGAAGCCTACCTTGAACAATGATGATTGGAGCGCATGAATGCAGACATGAATCAGCTGCAAAGAGGCTGCTGGCGATCAGCATCACTGGGTTGCAATAAAAGGATGAAAAAAAGGTGAAAACTGTGTTTTCTAAAAGAAAAAAAGCATAGCGATTGCTTGTAGTGCCGAAGCAAATTACATGTCATCCAATTAGGGTTTAAATGGTTTAATAAAGTTTTATGTCTGACTTTTTTTACACCAGACATAGACAAGAAGACTTGGGAGGTCGGTATTGGATTGGCAGTGCCTGCTGATACATTTGTGGCCACTGTGTGTCAGTGTTGCACTTTTCAGCGCCAGCCTAACAGGCGTAACGGATTGAGATGAACTGCATTAGTCACAATGAATTTCATATGTGTGGCTGTAAAGTGGATATAACTGCTTTACAGAGCCATTATCAATGCTTAGACCTTATTATATAACGGAAATTTCTTACCTTCCAAAATTTCATAGACAGGTTATATATTTCCCCCTGTTGCTTTCAATTAAGAGCAGAACATTCTATTCCAGGGCAATTGTAGGACACTGAACCAAAGTATTAAAGTGTACCTGTCCTGCATTATTTGTTTGGAGAAATTAAAATGTGCACAACAAATGGAATCCTGGGTGCTGGTGAGAGACTGACCTGTTTAGTTTAGTGTCAAGGTCAACCCGGGTGATGGGAATTGGCAAGCTGTGTGCCAGAGTATCTGATCTACATTCCTGCAACTGACTGTGTGCTGGGTGGGGGGGCTGGTTGCCTTAAAGTGTTACTGAACCCAGGACCCTGCATTCACTATATCTTGTCTCCCAGGACCCTGCATTCACTACATCTGGTCTCCCTGGACCCTGCATTCACTATATCTGGTCTCCCAGGACCCTGCATTCACTATATCTGGTCTCCCGGACCCTGCATTCACTATATCCGGTCTCCCCGGACCCTGCATTCACTACATCCGGTCTCCCCGGACCCTGCATTCACTACATCTGGTCTCCCCGGACCCTGCATTCACTATACCTGGTCTCCCCGGACCCTGCATTCACTATATCTGGTCTCCCCGGACCCTGCATTCACTATATCTGGTCTCCCCGGACCCCGCATTCACTATATCTTGTCTCCCCGGACCCTGCATTCACTATATCCGGTCTCCCCGGACCCTGCATTCACTATATCTGGTCTCCCCGGACCCTGCATTCACTATATCCGGTCTCCCCGGACCCTGCATTCACTATATCTGGTCTCCCAGGACCCTGCATTCACAATATCTGGTCTCCCAGGACCCTGCATTCACTATATCTGGTCTCCCCGGACCCTGCATTCACTATATCTGGTCTCCCCGGACCCTGCATTCACTATATCCGGTCTCCCCGGACCCTGCATTCACTATATCTGGTCTCCCCAGACCCTGCATTCACTATATCTGGTCTCCCCGGACCCTGCATTCACTATATCCGGTCTCCCCGGACCCTGCATTCACTATATCCGGTCTCCCCGGACCCTGCATTCACTATATCTGGTCTCCCAGGACCCTGCATTCACTGTATCAGGTCTCCCCAGACCCTGCATTCACTATATCCAGTCTCCCACAGTACACAGAACATGGAAATGCAATTATTTTAGTAAATATAAACTGCTAATTAACTTTTCTCATCAGCAGTTAGAGAAGTCTTGTGACTTATATCAGTGTTCAGCAGAGTGCATGTTAAAGCTTGAAGGAGGAGTTTTCAGTCTGCTCTAGGAGGATGCAGAACCCCTGACCTCTGTCTGGACAGTGCTAATTGGCACTGTGCTCCACTCTCCCAGAGAAAAAAAAAAAACCTCTAGCGATACACACCAAACTAAGCATGTGCAAGAGTGTCTCCACACACTGTGTCTTATCAGGAGATTAGAGGGGGACACTGGAAGGAGAGGAGGATCAGAGAAGTCAGGATCAAACAGCCTTTTTACACAATTGATTGCTGGCTGATTCTCTGGGACTGGAAGTGAAAGTGGTTCTAAAGGCTGAAGGTTTTTTACCTTAATGCATTCTCTAAGTGCAGTTCTCCCCAGACCTCCCTTACATTTACCTGAGCTCCATCTCCATCCAGTGATGTGCACAAGAGCAGCATCTCTCTTGGCTCTCTCTCTTTTCATTGGCACAGAGACAGCAGCAGAAGCCATTGGCTCCGGTGGATATGAATCACAGCAAGTGAGGAGGGAGTGGAGGGATAGGTCCGAGCCACACTCTGTGTTTCTATGGACACAAAGAACTGGCTCAGGAGTGAGCCCAGATGAATGCCCCCATAGCAAGCGATGTGCACAAGAGCAGCATCTCTCTCGGCTCTCTCCCTTTTCATTGGCACAGAGACAGCAGCAGGAGCCATTAGCTCCAACAACTATGAATCACAGCAAGTGAGGAGGGAGTGGGGGGGGGGGGGGTAGAATCAAGCCACACTGTGTTTCTATAGACACACAGAACCGGCTCAGGAGTGAGCCTACATGAATGCCCCCATAGCAAGCGACTTGCTTCGGTGGGCACTTGATGGGGGGATGAGCCAGGAATGTCAGTGGGGGATCCGAGAAGAGCAGGATCGGGGCTTGCACAGAGCAGGTAACTTATGGGCTTAGGAGAGCATAGACATGGTCTCCTAATAAAGGATATAGTTATATATGTTTTTTTACTTTTTTGTCTCTACTGCTACATCTACTACCACTTTTCATTTGGGAAATATCCACTCCCCACACCTCCCATATTAATGAATGCCTCTGAATAAGAATCTAACCCTTGAATAGGCCTGCAGGTGATAGAGGTAAGTGTCATGGCATTAATATAGATGTAAGCTCCCAGGATCAGGCCCTCCTATCCCTCTTGTATTGAACTGTATTGTTGCTGTATTGTCTCCCTTATATTGTAAAGTGCTGAGCAAACTGTTGGCGCTATATAAATCCTGTATAATAATAATATTTATGACCCATGTACTGCTGGTGTGCGCCATATTTGACCTCTTATATTTCCCCCCATGGATACCTCTCCAGTTTAGGAGGGGATATGCTGTCCTAGATTTTAAGTTTTAGTCCTTGCCTTTCCTCCCCTTCCCTCTTCCCCTTTTTTTTTTTTTTTTCTCTCTTCTCCCTTAATTTTAGTAATCACTGTTCTTCATATATATATATATACTATACATGTTTTTTTGATTTTTTTGTTTTTTCTATTTTATGAGTGTATACTCTATATTAATTGCAGTGGTTCATCAGAAGCGTGGATCCTGAGGGAGCAATCATAGTGAAACGCGTCGATCATACACACTGGTTATGTACCTCTATAATATCATTGTCAATTACATGCCAATATGACACCGATAGACCGCTTGGTTTTAACTGTGAAGTTTGTTCTCACTTTTAACAGCTGAACCATTAAAAATGTATACATTTTAGCACTTGTATTGTATTTAAATATCTCCCATTCCCGTTGTTTGGGCACATATAAAATCCCATTTTCCTGGAGATAGGACAGGACCACCCTGATTTCAGGATGTAACTGTCCACTCCGGGACGGTTGTACTTTCCTACCTCTCCTCTCCCCTCCCCATTTCCATTTCCACTCAAAATTCAACCTTTCACCTCTATTAACAATCACATTTCTTATATGTTTAATACTTTACCCCAACCCCCTCTTTACATGGGGCTTCCCTTCGAAAGGCACTTTCCATTGCTATACTGTATTAGACTGCAGTGCCCTCCTGGCACAGCTTGTCCAGTTACTGCACAGGGAGTCGAATTCTACTCTCCTGATGTGGCGGCCTCTGGACTTTCAGTGAACCTGCTCAATATTTCTTTAATTGAATAGTTTGAGTTCATGCTCAATTCTATCTACCTCTCTCATTTGAATGTAAATTGACTGGAAGTCTGATGTTGACCATTGAATATTGTGCCTCCTCTATTTTTTTTGGCCTTGTGTCCTCTGTTTTTCTTATGTGATAATAAAACTATAAATAAAGGATGCAAAAAAATATGCTGCACAATTGAAGGGTCTGATTGGGTGACATTTTGTAAATTAGGGTTGCACTAAGCTTTTATGTCTTTATGAATACGTCCCACTTTCTTTGTAATATTCAGTGTAGCGCACATGTTTGGCCACTAGATGGCAAGCTCACTCTTTTGTTTGTTGCAGGCAAGACAAGAGACCAGAACAGATCCTTTGGGATCTCTAAGCTTTCTGGAACCCCATATATCATAAATGCAAGCTGGATTTAATGACAGGCAGCTAAATTAAAAAAAAAAAAAAACCCCTTTGTGACAGACAACTCTCAATCGCCACGTATTCCCTGAACAGTTAAGTGAATGTTTATAGTCTCCTGGAGAGAAGGTATAGCACAAATTCCTACACCGACAAAAAGAGCCTAGTACCAGTTATACAGATTGCAGTGAATTATGGGTACAGGCAATGTTTTCCATAAGACCAGTAATTCTCATGCTGATATGAAAAAAGACTAACATCTACCAGATCCATCTTCTGTCCATACTACCTTCTGCTCACTCTGTCCGTACCATCTCCAGTCCACTCCTCCTAATCCTTCTTCTCATTCTATCCATACTACCTTCTGTCCACTCTGTCTGAGCCATCTTTTGCTCACTCCGTCCATAGGACCTTCTGCCCACTTTGTCTGATCCACCTTTTGCCCACTCCGTCCATAGGACCTTCTGCCCACTTTGTCTGATCCATCTTTTGCCCACTTTGTCCATATGACCTTCTGCCCACTTTGTCTGATCCACCTTTTGCCCACTCTGTCCATAGGACCTTCTGCCCACTTTGTCTGATCCATCTTTTGCCCACTTTGTTCATAGGACCTTCTGCCCACTTTGTCTGATCCACATTTTGCCCACTCTGTCCATAGGACCTTCTGCCCACTTTGTCTGATCTGACTTTTGCCCACTCTGTCCATAGGACCTTCTGCCCACTTTGTCTGATCTGCCTTTTGTCCACTCTGTCCATAGGACCTGCTGCCCACTTTGTCTGCTCCATCTTTTGCCCATTCTGTTCATAGGACCTTCTGCCCACTTTGTCTGATCTATCTTTTGCCCACTCTGTCCATACCACCTTCTGTATACTCTGTGTGGTCCATCTTCTGCCCACTCTGTCCATACCACCACTTCCCACCTATGTCTCCTTAAGCCAACTCTGTCAACTCCATCTTCCACTCACTCTATCCTTCCATCCAGTCTGTCTGCATCATCTTCTGTCCTCTCAGTCATCCTCTGCCCATCCTATCCTGACCTTCTTGCCACTTTTAGCCTCAGCCTACCCTCTGTGAACTCTGGTCCTGTCCATCAGCAGAGAGCAAACGGATACTGAGATATTGACAATAATTAGATATTCCCTTATACAGATGTTCAGGCACAGAATAAAATTGGACTGATCATACCCCTCCAGTGACATAACTTGTCCTCTGGATTATACAAATTGTTTTTACAGTGCATTATGCGTGAAACCTCCACTTCTCCATTACAAAGCCAAAATCTAGATGACATGCTACCTCTAAATCTATTTTATTCACAACTCTGCAGTGCAAACCAGCACATGTCCAGTATACATGTGGGAAACATCTGTTTGAGGATGTCAGCTAGCAAACTACCATTCAGCCAACTGGTACATGCCACCAAAGCAAGTGGCTTACCTTTTCAGTGAGGCACAACTCATAATTTGAGAATGGCTGCAAAGAATCACATAGGGAACCTCCCTACTCCCTCAGTAGGGGAAGGATTTGCAATATGGGGGCCAAAAATGAAAAATGTTTGCATGTGTATTTGACAGAGACATAGTGACTTCATAAACAGTAACCTTTCCTTTTCCCGACAGAATTGTAGATAGCAAAATAATACTGTTTCTTTTAGTACAGAAAATGCTCACTGAAGTTCTACCTAAAGTGTATCTCTAGCCCAGGGGCGGACTGACCATTTGGAAACTCGGCACTGCCCGAGGGCCCGGGGTTAGAAGGGGGCCCCATGAGATGCCCCTGGTACCTTTTTCATAGGCTTTTTTGAGTTTGGGCAAGGACACAGAGGCCCTATGATCCCCTATTGCCCGGGGACCCCATGAGTTGTCAGTCCGCCCCTGCTCTAGTCCAAACCATTTTTTTCTAGCTTTTGCTAAAACAAGGCAAGATCAGAACCTCTGTCCGATTTTATTGTTGTGTGTATCCCTGTTTGAAAGATTTAACCTCCATATATATTCTCTGTGATGTCATCCATTGACCAATGCATTGCTATTCAATGACCATACATGTGAACTGTGATATTTTTTGCAGTGATATTAGATGAAGTCAACAGTAGGTGTATGGTATGTAGGTTTTGGAAGATTTAATTTCTAACCACGGTTCTATATGAACCCCATACTCACCGGGGTGCCCTACAAAGCTCAGGATCAGCTAATTCCAATGCCCACTCAGAAAGCCATTCATTGGTCGTCGGGCTGAGGAGAGAGAGGACACTGGAATTAGTGCACTTCTCCTGGGCCTTCAGCTCAACAGCAATCTACAGTCAAAAGATTC